AACATAAAACATGTATAATTGAAGTTTAATTTACAAGTTATTCACATTCTGTTTTTCTCCTTGGTCTCTCTGGGATGCAACAGTAGATTCTACAGAGTGGGATGGGGATTGAAGCAAAAATTCCAAAGATACCCAAAGAGCCATCTTTGAAAAGGTGACCGAGACTGTAATCTCAGCACTTGGGACTGAGGAAGGAGACAGTTTGAGGCCAGTCAGGCCTATCAAGTAAGTTTAAGGCCAGTGCAAGCTACATGCAGAGAGCACCTGTCTCAAAGAACCAAGGGCCAGGATATAGTTCATTGGTGGAGTCCTTGTCTAGCATACATAATACACTGGGATATGTATGTTCTTAGCACCACAAAAAAAGTGGCTGAAAAAATTTCAGTTTCACATATTATTTTTCTAATTTTCTTAAAATTCCAAAATGGGAGTAAGTTTTATCTCAAAGGGGCTGGAGAGATGGCTCAGAAGTTAATACTCTTCCAGAGGACCGGAATTTGGTCCCCAGCATTGACTTAGAGTGGCTCATGACTTCATGTAACTCCAGCTCCAGGGAACCTAACACCCTTTTCTGTTTTCTGGTCTCCAAAGTGCTCTCATGCACGCACGCACGTGCGCGCGCGCGCGCACACACACACACACACACACAAAAATAAAGTCTTTCTTTAAAAAGAAGAGGAAGAAGAAGGAGAGAATGAGAAAGAAAGGGAGGGAGGGAGGAAGGGAAAGAGAGAGAGAGAAAGAGAGAGAAGAAGAAGAAGAAGAAGAAGAAGAAGAAGAAGAGGAAGAAGAAGAAGAAGAAGAAGAAGAAGAAGAAGAAGAAGAAGAAGAAGAAGAAGAAGAAGAAGAAGAAGAAGAAGAAGAAGAAAGCTTGTTGATTCTAAATTCTACCAGACAATTTGTAGTTGGAACCACAATCCTTTGGGTTTAACTGCTCTCGGCGTGTCATGGTCTTATTCAGTTTGAATGTTAATTTTGAAGGAAGTGACACTTAGTCATCAGTGTCAATTTCAAAGGACGTGTACTTTACCATCAATACTGAGAAGAGCCCCCAAATGGCTGATGCCAGCCTTGCACATCCACAATCCTGTCATCCTGCAGACTGTGCTGTCAATGAGTTGGCTTTAAGGCATTGTCTTTGGGTGTGACTAGGATGTATGAATACAGATAACGAAACAACAGTAACTTAAACAAGGCCAGGAAGCAGGTCCATATAAAACATACCATGAAGTAAGTGTTCTCTCTGTCTTGTTTCGAGACAGGGTTTCTCTGTGTAGCCCTGTGGAACTCACTCTGTAGACCAGGCTGGCCTTGAACTCACAGATCCACCTGCCTCTGCCTCCTGAGTGCTGAAATTAAAGGTGTGTACCACCACTTCCCGTTTTGGTGTCTCTTTTAAAAGAAATTATTTTCCAATACATTTTAGGCAAGAATAATAAAACTACTTTCTTTGCCCTTTCCATCTGGATTCCTCTCCTTGATTAAAGTTTAATTGTGTACCACTCAGTAATAAACACCTGTATCGAGCTTGCCTTAGTACCCTTCATCACTGGAGAGTAGGTTTTGTGATTCTCATAACCCTCAGCACGTCAGTGTCGATTTTTCCTTTTATTGTTTTGTAGTGTATGAGCAGATGTGTGTGTGTGTGTGTGTGTATGTATGTATGTGTAGGTACACAAGTGTGCACATACATGTGCTGTCCAGAAAATAGTTTTGAGTTTCATTCCTTAGACACGGCATGTAGGAATTTCTCACAACCCAAGTGCAAATCTTCAGACACTGACTTCTCTGTAGATGGTAGGATGCATTTCACGTTTTCTTCCTGTAACATGTTTATATAGCAAGTATTTATTGTGTGCCTTCTGTATGCCACGAACTATCTTCTGCCTTGCATAGGGGACACTTACACATGTTCCATGGAATGTACACATAGAACAGACTTTATCAGGAAAACTTTTTATATGGTATGATTTACTTATTTTTGACAATCCCTATGTGTATAGAATGTATCATGAGCATAACCACATATTACGCCTTTAAGCCATCTCCTACTCTTGCTGACTCCCTTTATCTCAACTAGTGCTCCCCCGTCCTCATGTCGACTCCCTCCTCCTCCCTAACCCAGGGAAAACTCACATAAACAGAGAAGTAACAGGAGTGACTGATGCCACCTTTCATCACCACACAGCTTAGGCAATGTGGAGATGGGCTGTGTGGCCCTGGGCCAGTATGTGAGCGCAAATGCAGTGACTTGGCCCATGAGATTAAATGGATATTTATAGCATGGGGGAGGGGAATGGAGAATTATAGAGAATGCTGCCCTGTTTTATGGTTTTTTTTTGTTTTTGTTTTTTTAAATACAGACACTTGGTACTCAGCAGTTGTTCTACTGTTGAACTGAACCAGGTCTGTGGAGAGAGCTCTCTGCTAAGTCATAGCAGGATCCCATCTCTATCAGCCCCTTCCCAGTCCAGCCTCTGGAACCTGAGACTCTTTTAATATAATTCTCAGTGTTCTTTCTAGCTGGAGTTGAATAACACTAGGTTTTATGTGTTTGTTCTCAAGTGGTGTGTCAATCAAATCTCACCCAGCTATCCAAGTAGGGAAAGACATGCCCAACACTGAGAAGTCATAGAAGGCTTCTGTATCTTTAGGATGCTTTTGCATCCTTCTTCAATCCTTTATCCCAGTCATCATGCCTCCAGGGTAACCTAGTTGCCCTTTCCTGGGCTTATGAATGAAATCCACAGGACCATGGAGGTTGCTATTTGACAGTAATTTCATGAATGGCCTCTGAGGAGGCAAAAGGACAGTCATGGATGTGCCATGGCAGTCAGGGTCAAATCCATGTCTACTTAGGTGTTCTCAGAAGTAATGGAAATTTGTTCATCTGTCAAGGTCAAACCAAGCATGAAAATCAAGAAGAATAAGAATTCCCTGGGTTTCTTTTCATATGTTTGTGAAAAAATAAAAAGAAATGTATACTACGCCTTTCACTCTTTACCTTGAGCTGATTCCTGAATGGGGAGGCGTGAATACAATTTAAAATAACAGAAGACACTCAGAAGAACTTTGCTTAAGCTTGGCAAGAGTCTATGAATCATATAGCTTCATGGGTAACGGTGGCTTTTTCTGTGAATTGGGAGAATTTCTTTCCAGGTGTTCTAGTGCCTTATAGAAGTTCCACTGCTGTGATCCTGATTGGGGCACAGCTCTTGCTGGCTTCAGCAGAGATGTTCATCAATCTTTAAAACATGGTTGCCTCACAAGAGTAAAATTGAGTTTATAGTCAAGGTATTGCATCCGATTCCCACGGAGGCCCCACGATCTTCTGATTCCACATGGTCCAAATGCTATAGGTGTAGTTAAGAAGGTGACTGGATTTTAGTCTCAGGACAACACGTGTGGCTTAAACCACTTGAAGTTCTGAGTACTTCTCAGAGTATCCAACATGGTATATTAGCAACAGTTCTTTATTATGTTGAATGGAGCTGCCACTCTTGATGGTAGATGATTTTATCAGTGAACTTTAATCTTCAGGTTCAGGGACTTGCAGACAAGGCTCCAGGCTGAGCTAGTAGTTTTGGTAAAGCAGTGGTCAAGACCATATTTAGGAGTCACAGGTGTTCAGCGGGTTGGCTATTGTCTTTCCCTAATGGGAAGTGCTGATTCTGTTTCTATGAAATGAGTTGAGGCTTCAGCCACCCTCTGGGAATATAAGTCAGAGAAGTCCAATGCAGGATGGGGTTTGCTCAGTATCTTGACTTTTGATGAGCTTATCTGTGTCCACTAGGGCCTGATGGCTACTTAGCAGTGGGAGAAAAACTTTATAGTGCCAAAGGTCTCGAGTAAACGAGTTGTGGTAGGTTCTTAATTAGCAGAACTACTTCCAGCCACCTAAAACTGGTCCTACATGTCCGAGATTTTGGGGAGTTTTACGGTGATGAGGGGTTCCTGCTTGCTGGGTTGCTTCCAGCCCTTCCTGCTCCAACAGTAGGTACTCAAAGACCACCACCTATCTGGTGTCCTAACACTGCAGAGTTTTGTCACCAATATATAAAGAGAACAGTCATGTTTTCAGTTGTACATACACATGCAAGTGTGTACGTGTGTGTGTGTGTGTGTGTGCAAAAATTATAAAACTTGAAAAGGGACCATAAGAGTGGAGGAAGAGAGCTTAATGGGGGAGTGTGGGATTGTTCTTGACCTGAAAGCCAAAGAGGTGCTTTTTGGAGAGAGAGAAGACTAACGGGGGCTGGGGGCGTCACGGGATGGGGATGGTCAGCAAGGGAACGGGACAGTAAGGACAGAAGCTGGTGCTATATGGATGAAAACACCATAAGGAACGCATTGCTTCCCTGCTGACTTAAAGTCTCATTTAACAAACAGAGCTAGACTTGCAGTGGTTCTCAACCTTGCTGTGACCCTTTAGTACAATTCTTTGTGTCATGGTGACCCCCAACCATAAAATTCTTTTTGTTGCTACTTCATAACTGCAATTTTGCTACCATTATGGATCATAATATCATTTTTTTTGGAAATAGAGGTTTGACAAACGAGTCACGACCCTAGTTAAGAACCCCTGGTAGAGAAAAAGTTCAGAGATTAAGAGCACTGGTTGATTTTCCAGAGGACTTGGGTTTGATTCCCAGCACTCACATGATGGCTCACATCCTCTAACTCCAGTTCCAAGGGATTTGATGGCCTCTTTTAACCTCTTCAGGCACGCACATGAGTGCATAGATATATATGCCAACAAAACACACGTACACATTAAATTGTAAGTATGTATCTATAATATATTTATTTATATACAACGCTGAGGATATAGCTCAGGACCTTGCTCAGCCTTGGGAGGCATATTACCACTTCCCAAGCCCTGATTTAATTACTTTACAATGGAACATTGGAAAATAACAATGACTGGTCTCTCTACAGGATCTTTTAGTCACTGTTAGATGACGGTGTTAAGAATTAAATTTTTGTGTCTTTCTTTGTAGGTTCATCCAAGGCTGGTTTTCAGAAAGGAAGCAGGTGGCCAACGTGGATTTCTCGACAGTGCTACCTCGCTCCATTTCTCTTTATATCTTTTCCTTCCTGAATCCAAAAGACCTGTGTGCAGCTGCTCAAGTCAGCTGGCCCTGGAAGTTTCTAACAGAACAGGTTTCCTCCTCTCTACTCCTGTCACTTCCTAGCAATGGCACACAAAGGCAACCGTAATCTGCAATGGGTCAGTCAGGGTGGCTCTGGTGCCTGAAATAACAGTGGAGGGAGCCCGAAACTTAGTTGAGTGCCCCTTGGGGGAAAGGATGGGGGACCTGGAAGAAGTCGGTTCAGCACGTAAAGGCACTTGCTGCACAAGTGTGATGCCCTGAGTCTGATTCCCAGAACCTCTGAAAATGGGGTGTGACAGTTGACCTCTATAATCTCTCTGTTGCTCCAGCAAGATGGGGATGGAGGCAGGAGAGCCCTGGACACTCATGGGCCAACTAGCCTGGTATACACAGTAGTGAATGACAAGGTGGAGGTAAAGGCCGTTGACACACACTCACCTGTACTCATACACATGAACACACACACACACACACACACACACACAGATTTAAAACGGAGATAAGTGAATTTCAGTAACTTATTTTTTTACTTGGAAGGTTTTTCCCACCTTTGGTTTCCAAGTTTTCATATTGTGAATCAAACCCAGTGCTTCATACATGCTAAGTCAGCACTCAACAGCTGAACCAAATACCAGCACCAGTAATATTTTGTAATCATGGCTATATACACCATTGCAATAGCTTATTTACTTTTATCATGCTTGTGGATCATTCAATGTGATTATTATTTTAACAATTTATAGAAGTTTGCTATTCTTTATGAAAAATGTTTTGAGCTGTGTTTCTTATGTGGTATTATTTTATTCATGATAGATTAGTTCTGGAAAATTGGTACATAATCAGAGCTTCTACTGAATGCTTGGCTGACAGCTGCTGAGGAACAGAATAGCAGCTAAAACCAGCATCTGCCGCTGCCTCTGCCTCTGCTCTAGGCATCTCTTTGTTGTCTTTTACGAGAGTGATTGTGAGAAGACAGACATGTTCTGGCTTCATGTCATGTTTTCCCCCTGTAGACTGCACATGTCCAGGGATGGCTGTGTCCTGATTTTCATTTCAAACACGAGCTGCTGCTCAGTGAGGGCCTCAAGCTCAAGGCAGGCAATGGCCCTTATTTTATGGCCTGTTGTCAGGTTCCTCAGACCCAGGCACTCTTGTTTATATATCTTACTCTTGGCTTTTCTGTCACCACACACCTGAGATACACCTCTAAAGAGAATATGCTTGGCCAGCATTTGGCAGTCTTTGAATTTTTTTAAAGATTGTTTTGGTTTTTAGGGTACAGAGAAGTGAATCCAGGACCTCATAAGCTGGGTAGTGTCCCAACGCTTATGTGGAGGTAGCACCTCAGGCGTTTGTTGGCTCTTACTATCTACCTTCTTTGAGACATAGTCTGTCACTATTTACTGCTGAGTCCTCCTGGGAGGTTCAGGGATTCTGTCTCCATCTCCCACCTCACTGGAGGAGCACGGACATTACAGACATGTGCAACCATGTCCAGCTTTACATGGTATTCTAGTTAGGGTTACTATTGCTGCAGTGAAACACCATGAGTGAAAGCAAGTTGGGAAGGAAACTACATCATAGTCAATCACTCAAAGAAGTCAGGACAGAAATTCCGACAGGCTGGAACCTGAAGGCACGAGCTGATGCAGAGGCCATGAAGGGGAGCTGCCTACTGGCTTGCTTAGCCTGCTTTCTTATAGAATCAAGGACCACCAGTCCAGAGGTGGAACCACTCACGATGGACAGGGCTTTCCCTCAGTCAATCACTAACTAAGACATGTCCTACAGCCAGATCTTATGGAGGCATTGTCTCAATTGAGGTTCCCTCCTTTCAGATGACTCTGGCTTGTGTCAAGTTGACATAAAATTACCCAGCACACATGAATTCTGGAGTTGTGTGTGTTTTGTTTTTAGCAAAAGTGTTTAGTCTATTTATATTCATATAGATTCTGATATATTTCGGTTGAGACTCACCATCTTATCTTTAGAGGTTCCCTTATTTTTAATAAATTTATCGTTTTTGAGGCAAGGTCTCATGTATTCCAAGCTGGCCTAGCCCTGGTTCTATAGCAGCAGAAGACTCCAGATTTCCAAGCACATTTCCTCCCCCTTCTGAATACTATGCAGCTTCTTGTTGCTCTTTCATTTGACCCTCATGTTTCATTTTTATTCTACTCAAACTTTCCTTTGGGCTGCATAAGTACTTTTACTGTTCATCTCAAAGTTTTAAAGATTTTTTTCGTAGTTATCAGAGATCATAGTATGCACTCGGGGTTATATGATCAGATCTTAGAACCTTTAGACTGTGTATCACTCCCTCTGTTTTTGTGCCTTCTTGTCATATTTTTGATTAGGTGCATATACACATATAATAAACGTTATCATTGTCCTTGAGTGTCTGCAGCAGACTGGATACAGCCCATGCCTCTTCCTTTGTAATAGCAAAATCCACAACTGCCTGAGAGTTTTTTATGCAATGGTGTATCTACATGTAATCAATCCTCTTGGATACTTCAAATTCTTCCACATATGTTATTACTTTTTAAAGATTTTAATAATATTTAATTGCATATATGTATGTGTTCGTTGCCTGTATGTATTTGTATGTGTATTTATGGGTATGCCTCCCAAGAGACAGTTCATAAGCATGTACCACCAAGCCTGGCTCCATAGTCTCTTACTGAGCCTTGCATCATTTTTTGTTTTTTAGTGTTTAAGTTCGGGTTTTCTTCTGATCTATCAGTTTTTTGTTTCTTTATCTGGATTCTAATATGCTCTTGTCTGTTTATTGAATTTTAAAATTAAGTTATTATCTTTTCCAGGCCCAGAATGCTGATTTGCTTCTATTGCCAACATTTTCCACTTGGTCCCTTAATATTTTTGGGCATATTAATCATGGCATTTTTTTCAAAGTTTATGTCTCATAATAGCAATGTTTGGCTCTTCCTCAGGACTCTCTATAGTTACTAAACCTGAAAGAAAACAAAGAATTGTCTTTCTAAGTATTCAAATTTTTTTTGGTTGAGTGCAGGTATTGGGTTAAAACACTGATGTCATCATCTGGGTCTCTGAATGATGTCATCTTCCTCTAGAAAGAATTTACTTTTGCTTCTAGCAAGGGATCAGACCCAGAGCAAGCTGCTTCAAAGGTGGCCTCAGTCCTTGTCATGGTTTGCATAACTCAGTCTTACTCTTCCTGCAGTGCTCCTCAGTTGAAAACCTCGTGTGGTACCCAGGGCTGTGGTACCCAGGGCTCTGCTTAGATGAGCCCTGAGTTCCAGATGTGTTCATTCTTCTGTTCGCCTCTCTCTCTCCTTCCTTTCTTCCTTCCTTCTTTCTGTTTTTTCTTACCTGCTCCTTTAGAGCCCCCGAGTCTTTGAACCACAGCTTCGTGGCCTGCTCCCCAGCCTAAGCACACTTTTCTTTGAAACTGGCCATGTAGACTGGGGAAGAACTCGGCTACAGGGTGCTCGTCTTTCTTGAGGCCCGGGGGTTAGTCCCCAGCACTGCACAAACCAGGCATGCAGGTACACATCTGAGATCACAGTACTCAAGAGACTGAGGCACGAAGATCAGAAAGTCAAGGTCCTTCTCAGTTATGCTGTATAGTGAATTGCAAAACAAAGAGATGGCAAATGCCTCGAACCCAGTCTGGGTTTCCTTTTGTTCTGAAATCTTGAGGATACACAATTTTTACTGCATTGGTAATTTTAGAATGCATACACACACACATACACACACACACACACACACACACACAGAGTCTGTTGTCTTTTAAGGTCTTACCATGTTTCCCTGGGCTCATAGTGTACCTCCTATTCCAACCTCCCAGAGATCTAGGAGCACAGGTATATGAGGGAATGATATTGTGCCCAACGTAATTATTTTTATATTTTGTCTAGATTGTGATCTCAGTGAACCACATGAAATTCACTGGTTTTTTTTTTGTTTGTTTGTTTTGTTTTTTCGAGACAGGGTTTCTCTGTATTGTTTTGGAGGCTGTCCTGAGGAATTAACTCTGTAGATCAGGCTGGCCTCGAACTCACAGAGATCCGCTTGCCTCTGCCTCCCGAGTGCTGGGATTAAAGGCATGCGCCACCAACACCCAGCAAAATTCACTGGTTTTTAATATGTCAAAAATTGTTGCAATTTGGCAATATGAGTTCAATAAAAATTCTTCTCTGTGGGAGAGTTGATCTGAAGCAAACTATTAACCTTAAGTCTCATAATCTAGACTTAAGGTAACAAAATACTATAGGAATGCTAGATAAGTTTCACAAGATGGCATTATATATATATTATATTCATATATAATGTAATGTATACTAACCAAAGAACAGTCTTTATATGGGATAAAATATACTTTATACCTTTTATAGATTGAAGTCAACAATACTAGAAATGTCAGTCTACCAAAAAATGTGTGTGCCTGAAACTACCATTGTTAGAAAACTGTCCCTGAGAAATGTTTCACTCGTCTCTCTCTTGTTCTTTCCCGAAGGACTGCTTATGGATGCCCAAATGCACCAAGTTTGGGTGGTTTCTGCCCTATACTCCAACACAGAATGAATATGGCGCCTGGAAGCAGCACTACATTGCCTGTGTGTCCAGCTTGGATTGGCTAACGCCCAGGGAAGCTGCTGCTGTTTATGGGACACTGAATGAACCCAAAACAGAGGATGAGGAGTTCAAGGAGAGGCAAAGAGAAAAGTGCCTGAGGAAAGCAATTTGGGAGAAAATAGCATCCCGTAAGAGTGAGTAGCATCACCCAGCTACTGAACAAAGGGGCTTACATATAGATTCCCATCTAGAAGAGCATGTGGATTTGCTCGACTCCTCTTCCTTTATTATATACTTTAGGTTAATTGCTAATAAAAGAACAATTCAGATGAAATATCTAAGGTCAAGCATCCGTCTCCACAGCAGTCTAATTCCAGGTTTGTAAGAGCAAAAACAAGGAAGGGATCTGGTAACATGATTGTCCTATTAGCCTGAAGACCTGAGTTAAAATTGCCGGTACCCAAACAGCGGAGGAAACCTGAGCTAGGGTGTGTGTGCCTCTCAATGCCAGTTTGAGGGAGGTAGGGGCAGGAGGATCCTGGGAGCTTCCTGGCCAGCCTGTGCGGTCCAGTCAACCTCTAGCCTTGTGTGCTTGCACACGTGTGTCTGTGCACACACTTATACACACGCATATGGCCTCTCCCAGCCCTTCCCCCACGCATACCTAAAAGGAGGAGAAAGGGCAAACAGAGGCAAAAAACAAGAAGCAAATCCAGACGGAAGAATTGGGACTGGTGAAAAGGAGGCGTGAACACGGGAGTGAGAGCACGAAGAGCAATTTCTATGAAAAGAGCAAGAAGGAAACAGGGATGAGGCCATGCGCTCGGGGAAGCACACATGTTCTTAAGATACACTGTCAGCTGGCTTGGGTTCGCCCTTCTCTTTTCCCTCGCTCTTCCCTGGGAAGACTGAGACAAATGGGAAATTACCTCCAGCCGAGGACAGAAAGGGATGTAGGCCTATAGGCTGATTATCTGGTCCTCACAAGAAGAGTTCCTTGTTCTCTGAGCTTTGCTGATTGACCCAAAATGGCAGACAGAAAATAAATCCTCTAGGAGTGTGGGCAAGTGGCTATAATTATTGTTTGGAATATTGCCCCGGTGCAGCTTTCTTCTTGATGTCTTAATCTATGTCAGCTTGGCTGGGAAAAGTGTGGTTTAATGGGAAGCTTGCTGCTGTTCGCTTTTGCAGAGGAGTTATTCAAAGCTCGACCCCCTTGGCAGAGTGGAACGCGCTGCACCAGGATTTTAAAATCCACAAGCCTGCCCAGTGGTCCTCAAATGTGGAGAGATGGAGCAGGATTCTATGAAGCTTTGGAGAGACAGCTGGTTCTGGCATCTTTAGATGCTTTGCCCAAGCGGTGAGCAAACCTCTACCTACGGGGGGCTCAGTACTCTCCTGTGCTATGAAGACTCCATTATAGAATGGATTATTTAGCCAGCATAGGGATCTTCAGGAATTGGATGGTTTGTAGTCTATGAAATGTCAGAGAAGGAATTAATGACTTAATGTTCAAGAATAGCAGTTTTTAAATGTTTTCTGAAGAGGTAACTGTGTAATATCCAAAGCTTAATATACTTTTAGCCCTATGGTAAAGTTATATTGTAGACACCATACATTTTCTAAAGCTATTGAGCAAAAACGATGTTTCCCTGGTGTCTTTGATGGTCATCCTTCCATTGTCCTAATGAATGCTTAACATGATGTATTTATAAAGAAGAAGGGTCTGTTTAGCTCATGGCTTCATGAACAGTTGGTTCCATTGCTTTGGGCCTGTAGTAGCGTGAGCATCATGGTAGAAGCACATGATAGGAGAGGCTTACTCACTTTATGGTACCCAGGAAGTAAGGGGAAAAGGAAAAGTCGCTAGGGTTCCAATATTCCTTACAGAATCCCACCCTCAATGACCCAACTTCCTCCTACTAGGCCCACTTTCTAAATATCTACCCGACCTCTAAATAGCACCACGGACTGGTGACCAAGCCTTAAATACCCGAGGAAAACTGCAGGTCCCAATTACAGAAGCAAATTTGGACAAAAATTCCCATTTATTTTTGCAAATCTAAACACAATTCTTTTTTCCTACTGAAATTAGAGGAATTCTGACTGTTTCCAGTCCCGGGATTCATTTCTTTCTTTTTTAACTTTCTTTTTATTTTATGTGATTGGTGTTTTGCCTGAATATCTGTGTAAGGGTTCCAGATCCTCTGGAACTGGAGTTACAGACAGGTGTGTGCTGGGAATTGAACCCTGGTCCCCTGGGAGAGCAGTCAATGCTCTTAACCGCTGAGCCAACTCTCCATCTCCAAGGATTCACTTTTTATTCTATCTACCTATCCTATCTGACACTTGTAACTTCCACAACTTGCACAGCAATTTAGAAACTAAGAAAAAGAGGTTTGTTTTGCTTTTCACTTTGGATTGTACAGTTACATTTCAAATGCAGACACTAAAGTCTAGACAAGTGACATAAATCACCCAGTTGTCATAATATAAACAGTGGGACCTGAACCCTCACATTCCCACACTCCTTCAGCTTCACCACTGACACCACGCGCAGATCTGTGTTGGAACACTTGTGAGTGTGGAGTTATGTCCTACTCATCCAAAGGCACACAAAGACTTTTTAAGAAGTATAGGGAATCTCTTGTCCTTGGTAATGTGGGGATGGGGCTGTGGAAAGAATGGAGACATTACTCAGGAACCCCTAAGGGCCAGGAGTGAGTTAGGAATCGCTTGGCTGCACCTTGTAAACTATAGCTTTGAACCTGTAGGTGTAGAATAATGTTTATTTTAAGTGCCCAATAGAAGCTAAGTGAGTGCCAAAAAGCTTCTCCTTCATCTCTCATGTGGAAGTGGAGAGACAATAGGGCAGATTTGGCTCTGCCCAACCTGGGACCCCTATTTGTCGCTGTCCCTCAGATTGCTAGGAGAGCCTAAGAACTCAGGGACAGTGGCCTTCTGCCATCCATCCGTGTTCAGAGGGTATTGGCACTTATCAAAAGTCACGTTAGCAGAACATTAGGATTTATCCAGCCCTCTTGTGCTCTCCAGAAGCAATCTCTCTGGAAGTCACTCCTACCCTTTACTGTTAAAGAAAAATCATCGTGGGGTTGGCAGGACTGATGACAGCTCTCCCTGTGCTTTGCAACCGCATGTCATCCTGATCTCATCGCAGACTCCTGCATATGAGGTACCGCTGTGCTAAGAAGCCCGCCCTTTCCCGAATGGCTTTTTCTCATCTAGACTAACGAAGTCTTTTGGCTGCCATGTGTGTGAAGATGATTCATCTCCTGAAAGGGAAATTGTCTAATCAAGTGAACATTTACAAGACCCATACAGTTTTTAAAATTGGAGGCAATAAACATAAAAGCAATCAAACTTATTCTGAAAAAGCATGAGAGGTTCAAATTGCTGTGTGTGCAGTTGTTGTCAAAATACTCCTGTTGGATTGAACTTGTTGCTCTTAAAAAAAAAAACAAAGCCAGCATGATGATTAAAAATAGTTAAGACTCTTCCAGAATTCCCAAGAAGTTTAATAATATGTGATCAATAGTTTTCAAAAGTGGGTTAGAGCCGGGCGTTGGTGGCTCACGCCTTTAATCCCAGCACTCGGGAGGCAGAGGCAGGCGGATCTCTGTGAGTTCGAGGCCAGGCTGGACTGACAGCCTCCAAAACAGAGAAACCCTGTCTCGTAAAAACAAAAAAAAAGTGGGTTAGAAGTATTACTTTATGATCTATTTAAGCTAAAATATGATCATTACAAAATGAAGGTAGAGCTAGGTATAGTAGTGTGTACCTGTAATCCAAGCACTTAGGAGGCTGAGGCCAGGAGGATAGATGCAAGTTTGAAGCCAACCTGGATATAGAAAGTATCAAGTAAGCTAGGACTATACAATGAGACGGTCTCAAAAAACAAAAATAAGTAAAATGAAGTTATATGTTTTCATTACACATATAGTTAGAAGATTTTAAAATCTATTTAAGAAGTCCATTGTAAAATGGTATTAATTCAATTTTATTATTTTAATAAGTTGTGCATGTACAAAAATAAAGGGGGCGGAAGAAAAATAACCTAAATCATTAGTGCTATTTATCTGCATGGCAGAGTTACAAATGAACCTCATAGTTCGCTCACAATTAGAGAAGAAATAAACTAGCGGGAGTTTAGTCTCCCCCTTCTGTCCTTTCTGAAACAATTCTTTAGCAACGATAGCATATTGTGCATCACCTCGGTTCTTTGACTAGCTCTAAAGCTCACGCACACTGACTCCTACAGCTGCAGTCTTCCTTCTAGATGGTGGTGGAGAGCGTTAAGGTGGGTGTCTCGGCCATTCTGTATGAACACAGTGGTGTGTCCTTGGAGGGCCTGCTTCATCTCATAGACCGAGCTCTGCAAGGGCAGAAGGCACGAAGACTGGGGATATTTAGCAGTGGAAACAGCAGAGAAATTGACTTACTCCGAGGTTGGTCTGGGGTTTGGAGAACAGTCCTGTAGCTTGAGTGTCTGCAGTGCCTACCCACAAATGTGACTGTCACAGTGCTGTTAAGTTCTGATTCACTGGGAAAGGTTCATTTTGTCTTCATGAAGAAAGCAAAGTAACTTTTGATGATTTTTATTTTGAGACAGGGTTTTTCTTTTTTTTCTCTCTTTTTTTTTTTTTTTTTTTTGGTTTTTCGAGACAGGGTTTCTCTGTGGCTTTGGAGACTGTCCTGGAACTAGCTCTTGTAGACCAGGCTGGCCTCGAACTCACAGAGATCCGCCTGCCTCTTCCTCCCGAGAGCTGGCATTAAAGGTGTATGCCACCACTGCCCCATTCACATTCCTGTAAAGCTTTTCTATCTTGCAAAATTGAAACTTAGGAACACCTGTCTTCTTCCCCCAGCGCTGGCCCCTGCTAACCACCATGCCCTTTAGATACAGATATGGAAGCACTTGTTTTGTTTTTTTGTGACTTGGTTTTTCATTTATACTCCTAGAGCTCATACACTTTACCAATTGATTTTTCTCTTCTCTCTTAAGGCCAGACACTAATCTACTCTATCTGCGTGCTCCAGTTTCCTTATCAGCTGATCTACTAGTAGTCACTCAGGTTGCTTCTACTTCCTGGTTGTCATGAGTAACCACAAATCTCTTTTGTTCTTGCTTTCAGTGATTATGGAGATATGCCCATAAGTATGATATGGTGGCTCTCTTTTTATTTTAAAAAGCCTCTATGCTGTTTTCATAACTGTTTTATCAGCAATGTACAAGTATACCAAGTACTCCATGTCATTTACTTGTTAGAGGTTTTTGTTTTCACAGTATCCAATCTCATTGTGTTTTGATTTGCCCATCTCTGATAAGTGATGCCGAACATCTGTCATATGCTTGCTGCCCATTTGTACGTTTTCTGAAAACAAGCCCTTTGTTTATTAAAATGTGGGTTTGATTTTTGAATAAGTTGAGTTGTAGGCATCCTTTGTGTGTTATGGATATTAATTCCTTACCAGATATGTGATTTCAAGTATTTTCTCCTCTTCTATAGTGTCTTTGTCACTGTCCTATTACTGTGAGAGACACCACGACCAAGGCAACTCTTATGAAAGAAAGCATTTAGTGTGGGTTCTTCTTCCCAGAACCCTCTGTCCCCAGAAGTCCCACCTAGTCTCTTCCTGCCTAGTTAATGTCCATCCAGCCCTTTATTAAACCAATCACAGTGACACATCTTCACACAGTGTAAAGGAATATTGTACAATATGGCAGAATGAATCAGTTCTGAGGAAGTGGGGGGAGTTGAGGTGATGCTAACTTTGGGAGCCTTGGGCTTTGACCTTATTTTTTTCATTGACAATTGTGAGAGCTTTTTCTACTTTGGAAATTAGTTGCCAGACCCCAGGGCTTGACTGGCTATTCACCTTAAACTTTGCTCAAGCCCAGTGACTCCCAATACTGCACAGTGAAGGCAGAAACATAATGACCAAAATGTAAGTGTGTAACTCATTCACCCAGAGTGCAAAGGAGCCTGCAGCCATGGTGCTGTTCAAGGCACTTTTGTGGCCCTACCATGTTGCTTCAGGAAGCATAGTAGCACTGGAGATCTTGGTTTTTATGGGCAAATTGAATTTGTGATTTCATTTTTACAAACTGCTGAGAGTTGCTGTTTGTAACAATATAATATTTGATATTTTAATTTTTTCCTTAGGCTATAAGATTTCTATTAAAAATTTACTGTGGCCTGAAGTGAGAGACTTCTGGGAGAAACTGGGAAGCTGTGTGGCCACCGAAGAAGAAGGGGGACGTGTAGACTTCTTTGTGCCTCTTGGAGCATCAGGTCAGCATCAGTATTCTAGAAAGGCAGGGGACATGTCTCCTTGTGATGCTATTTTGTGTGTGTCTGAGGTGCCCTCACAAATGAGGCCATTTAATGCATGAATCAGTGGCTCATTCCTTTTTACCACTGTAGTTATTGCATGAAATACCATTATGTTGTATACTCTATCTATAGAAGGTATTGCATAAGGGAAGTTGCTGTGAGCATGTGAACATGGACAGTCACGTCTCTAAGATATCTAACAGCCCAGTGGTGTACATTTAACTCTTACAAAGCCAGTGAACATGTTTTTTTTAAGTGGTTCTACATCTTGACTTTTATACAGAGTATGTCTGAGAACTGCCTTGCTCAACACCGTGATACTTGTTTTACTTTTAGCCATTCAAGTGGAGACAGAAGCATCTTGTGGTGGTTCTAATTTGCAGTTCCCTAGTGAGTCACGACACTGAGCATCTTTTTATGTCCTCATCCACCATTTTTTCAAGTATCTTGCACATTTTGAAAAGTAGATTGCTTTTCCATTTGGTGCCTTATGTTTTCTTTCTCAGGATAGTTCTGCTGAACAGAATAATTTCTTAATTTTGATGAAATAAAATTTATCACCTTTACTTTTGTAACTGTTTTTACTGTCATATTTATAAATTATTTGAGAGGTGTATATTTTAAAATCTTCTGCCTATAGGTGTTCTGTCACACTTCTGTCTGTACCGCATGGGTGCAGTGTCTGTGGATGCCAGAAGAGGGCATTAGATCCTCCAGAACTGGAGTTAACATAAGGTTGTCAGAAGCCATGTGGGTACTGGGAACCAAACCCGGGTCCTCTGGAAGTGAAGTCAGTGCACTTAACCTCTGAGCCATCTCTCCAATCTCCATATTTTAAATTCCTTGCACAAGCAAAGATAAAAAAGATCCCCTTCTGCACCTCAAGGGGGTTGATATTTAAGTTTGGCATTTAGATCTGTGGCCCATTTGATTTATTTCAGAAAAGGTGGCATGGGTTGAAATTTAATTTATTTTACACATGGGAACCTGTTTTCCCAGTACCATTCCTTTTAAGGCAGCCTGTTCTCCCCCCATGAACTTTATGTACAAGTTTACTGCTATCAGTTGATGATTGAACTTAAGTGCACTCTCTGTCTGTGGACTCTTGTGGTCTCTCTATCCGACTTCATTATCAATGAAAAACATTAGGCATCTAACCCATCAGCTTCTACCATCTTGTGCCTGGAAGCAATAGGGTATTTAGTTTTGGACTACAGAGAATTAAAATACCCCATCCATTATGTATGTTTCTTCTCAACTAATTCAGTCTGTTCACTGAATTCAATATATTCCAATCTGTGTCACTGAAGAAGGGGAGAAAACGATGCCACATTAAAACCTGACTATGTTGTCCATCCTGGGTTTATCTGTTTTAACTGTATCCACTTTCGGCAACAATTCTCCTTTACTTGGAATGTTTTAGGAAACCCCTGCGAGACTTTCTCTGCCTTTGGCTTAAATATTCCATGCTGGAAGGTAAACATTTGCTGTAGTGGCATGTCCTCTCTCCATATTGTATTGCGTTGTTCCCACAAATTAGGTGTTTGCACATCTGTGTGTATTACTAAAGGTGAGATATTTATGGACACTTTGATAGAAGGGTTTGAATTGAAGATGATGACAATGGCTTGTGGTCTCTCTTGGCCAGCTCTGTCTTTCTTCTAACATTTGACTATTTCTGGAGAACCCTGTGACTAAACTAATGCAAGCTGTTTTCACTGTACAGAAGCAGGCATAGAAGTTCTTTCTCAGCTGTCTCAACTAACTGGCACATCCTTTTCTGCCCCCACCGGAATTGCGACTGGGTCATACCAACACAGTAAGTATATATGAGTGCTGGCTGCTGTTCCCAGGAACATACAGCCACATCAGCATCACCGAAGGACAAGAGCTATTAAAACATGCTCTTTGTCTCATCCTCTCCATCAGCAAGCAGCATTATACATCTTCACCGATGTCTACCAATCCCCATCTGCCTACAGCAGTTGCTGCTCTCTTTGAAGGGATGTTGTCCCTTCCATTTCACATCACGGAGTCATTCATTTGGAGGAGGAGTCTTTGCTGCAAATGTTTTGCTTCAAGCCATCATCTACTAAAACCCTCTTTAAAGAGTTCAGCAAAATTATCCAGTTGCTGATTTAGAGGAAGAATGTGTTTTCCTAGTTTTTTGCTTTTTTTTTTTAAAGAATAGATTGGTTTTATTCGGGGAACAGAAAGTAGAGCTCTCAGGAGTTGGAGACAGTAGCATGATAAGGAAGGGAAAAAGATCAAAAGAGGAAATGCACCTGCATACACACCTTTGCTGACACACTAAAGCTGCTAATACTGGCTGACAAGAGAAACACGTGACTGTCTTTACAATGTCACTCGTCATTTTCTCTTTGAAAACTCCCCTCTTCCTACACAACAGGGCTTGGCCTGCCTTGGAAATGACACAAACACGGATTCTTTAGTTCCCAAAGGCCTTTCATGACTGGTGTGTGTGTGTGTGTGTGTGTGTGTGTGTGTGTGTATGTGTGTGTGTGACGAGTGTGACACTTGTAAGGGAAATGATTCCATGTAGGGGAACAGAAAGGCACTGACTTCATAGTTCACCCAGTTCTGAAGCAGACACGGCCAGTTCACTGTGGTTCACACATCAGCAAATGAAGGTGCCTGTGGCTCTGTGAAGAAAATTGCCTAGCTCAGTGCAGCAAGGTTTGCACCCTGATGCTTGCCCTAAGGGACAGCTGTACTTCCTTGTCTCCTCCTGGCCTTCTCTTTCAGTGGGTTCTTCTTACTCTCCTTGTGAAAGAACACATTAGAAAGTTTTGCACATGCTTGCAGTGACAGGGGAACCAAAAGGGTTCTGACTGCCCATTCTGGTAAAACAACAACGACACCAATGGGCCCTCCATCATGGGGTAATTACTTTGCAAGGAGACTAACTAGCCATCTGCCGTAGCCACGTGGAATATTATAGTTCCCCGTAATTTGAGAAAGAGACAGGAGTGGCGGCTGTGGGTTGGCCTTGAATGGCATGGCAGGGTGTGGGAAGTGCTGGGTAGGGAGAAGTCTCACTTCTAGAATGGAGACACATTCTTTCTTACATCCATCCACTCGGTTTCCTGAAGCACCAGGCAGCGATTTCATTGCTAATTTCAAGTAGAACATGCCAACCTTATCTGCCAGAAACAGACAGGTATTTGCTGTGTCCTTTGCGAGTTTCTTATTTTACCACCAGAAGCAGGCTGTGGCTGCTTCTGTTCTCCTGAGAAAGGACATCATGCCTGGTATAAAGACAGCTGAGTTGGTTTTACTTTAAACAAAAAGTAGAAATCTCCTGCCTCAGGCCAAGTCTTCAGCTACTTGGAGAGGTCGAGGCCAATGAGAGGCCTTGTTGAAAATAATAGGTGGACAGCACGTGAGAACCTGAGAAACAATCCCTGAAGTTGACCTCTGACCTCCACATGTATGTACACACATGTACACTCATACACATGTGCACCTGTGCACACATACACACAGACACACACAAACACACACACACACACACACACACACACACACACACTGATCTCAAGTCTTCAATAATAAATGTAAAAATCCTGTCAGTTCTTAGTGACTGGCTGGGGCCACATCAGGAAAGGCTGCCTCCTTCTGACTACTTCAGTGAGTCCAAGTTGCAGGTGTGGACCAGCTTCACAGACTCCCTGGAAGACACCTTGAAATCGGTGAGGAAGGAGTTACATCCACTCTTCAAGAACTTGCAGAAGAGCATCAGTGGCCGGATCATAGGTAAGATCTCTGACACTTCCTCTGCAGATCAGGTCAGAGCTTATTTATTGCCTGAGAAAATTCAAGACTGAGAACGGCATAAGCAAAACACAAGCTTGGTCAAACACCTTCACCTTGATTTTTCAAATATTCAAGAGAAGCGAGTCATGCTCAGAATGTTGGCACTGAGCCCTGTTTTCAGGTTTCTCCGTCTTATTGGTCCATAGGACAGCCCATATGCCCTAGATTGAACTTGCTTTTTGCCTAACTAGAGAACTGTATCCTTTTCCTGTACAACTTCCCAGCTGTTAAACACTTCATACTCATGGTGTCTATTACACAACCTGTTCTTCAGTTCAGGTATTATCTAAAATCCATAATTCACCCAGATGTCTCAGGTAGATTAGCCAACTCAGGTGCCCCTCCAACTATGCATATAAATTATATATTACATTTTCTTCTTAAACAATAAAATAAAATACGCAGCTTAGTGCTGGGCTCCATGGTCTTTTAATGAGTCTGTTAGACATCACTGAATCAATTTTCCATTCCCTTATCAAATTACCATAATAATCTTTGTGGAATAATGTACTGGCTAACACTGAGTCATAAACTAAACCAGTCCATTCTTTAAAACGAGGCACTTTCACCATCTGGGTAAATATGTCTCCCATCACCTCTAACCATCGCTTCATATTTTAAACATTCTATCTGAATAAGACTATCATTTGAACACTGTAGACCCATGCCTTCCTCCCTTTCCCTGCTGTGCACGCAAAAAGTTGCACATGTATGTTCACACAGATGCTTTCGTTTGCTTTGTATTTTGCATGCCCCACCACTACCTGGCAAATTTTGTAGTTTGTTTGTTTGTTTTGGTGGGGGGAGTTCTTTAGGTCTTTTCTCCTTTTTTTTTTTAACATTCCAGTCCCAGTTCCCTGTTCTTTTTCTCCTCCTGCTCTCTCCTCCTTCCCCCATCCCGCCTCCCATCTGCTCCTCAGAGAGGGTAAAGCCTCCCCTACAATGTCAACTAAGTCTGTCCCATCACCTCATTGAGGCAGGACCAAGGTGCCCCCTCCCATGTCTAGGCTGGGTAAGGTATCTTTCCATAGAGATACATAGGGCTCCACAAAGTCAGTTTATTAGAGTTAGGTTTTTGTCCCATTGCCTGTGGCTTTATATACTGCCCAAGTCATACCATTGTCACCTGTATTCAGGGGTCCTAGTTAAGTCCTATGCTGGTTCCCCAGTTGACAGCATGGGGTCAGTGATCTCCTTCTAGCTCTGGTCAGCTGATTCTGTGGGTTTCTCCATCATGGTCTCGACTACTTTGTTCATATTATCTCTCCTCCCTCACAAGTTCAGGAGGTTGGTCCACTGGTTAGTTATACATCCATACACACATATTTTGTTCATCAGTATGCTGTACATTTTGCTTCCACAGATGCCTCTCATATAGAGATCTTGCCCTGTATTTTTCTGTACTACCTGCTCTATCACATCTAAGAAATGTTAAACCAATATTCTTAAATAGTTTAGAAACTATAAACCAGCCAGGTGGTGGTGGCGCACGCCTTTAATCACAACACTCAGGAGGCAGAGGCAGGCAGATCTCTGAGCTCGAGGCCAGCCTGGACTACGAAGTGAGTTCCAGGACAGCAGGACTACACAGAGAAACCCCATCTCAAAACAAGCAAACAAACAAACAAACAAAAAAGACAAAAGCAACCCCCAAAGCAAAACAAAAACTATAAACTAGGAGAAATAATTTTCCCTTTTTCTTTTATACATACTAAGGATTAAATAGAAAAATGAAAAAAGTAAATATTTTTCATGAAATGAAGTCGATGGGATAAGTTGTTTTCCAGTAAAAGCATGTAAGAAAATATTAAAAATGAATAGATGTCTTTGTATGTAAGCTATTTTCTCTGAATGTAAAATATTTACATTTGAACACAAGATAAGGGGAAATGGGAGAACCTAACATTTTCAGTTGGATCTAATATTTAACATATATAGCATTCATGATTTATTTTATTATTGTCTGACTCTTAGATTCCGTTTCAATATCAGTTTTGCCACACTGAAGTCACTTTGACTTATTTCCTATTTTGTAACAGAGCTTCCTGTGGCAATGATAAAAACTTGGTCCTGTTCCTTGCATTGCTGTCCACCAAAAAATAACTGAGATGACTTTTTTCTATCTATGACTATCACATGGCTCGCATTAATTAAGTACAGTGTATGTGCCTTACATTTCAGGGCAATTTATGTCTGACACTCTGAGTGTGGCCAGCTTTCTAAATAACCAAGATACTGCACAGGCTCTGGCGGATGGACTGATGGAGCTGTCAAGAGAAGGGTCTGTAAGTGTTGTCGAAGAAAGAAAACTGGACATTTTTCAGCGCAAATAAACCCTTCATTCCATTTGTTACCTTTTACCTGTTTATCACTCTGGGACAGAGTTCCTCAGAGAAATTACATCAGTTTATAAAAGCAAGCACAGAGAGATTCTGGGCTCAGGCTGTGATGTGCTAAGTATATAAAAACCGAGAAGCAGGAGACCTCCTGGGTTATTTAAAGTCTGTTAATTTGTGTGCTGTTTTCTGCCTTGTGCCTAATCTCAGTCAGAAGTGACTGCATTAGAAGACATGTTCACAGCCTTACAGTCCACATACATGGTAGTATGAACTGAGGAATTGAAACATGTGCAGCAGATACAAGATGATGATGAGCCAAGGGAGCTAGATGAGAGAGGATAGGAAAGAAAACACAAAAGAAAAGAGTTGAGTCAGCATTGGGAAACCCTGACAGTTGGGGGAGTGTCAAGAAGTATTTGTATTACATGGCTTCTTGGGCAGTCTACCAGAAAAGGAGTGTACATTTCAAAAGACTCTAAGAGCTTAGCTGGCTGGGGGGCCTGGCACAGACAGAACAGTGCCTGCTTTGCAAGTGTGAGGACTCAGTTTGACCTCCAGAACCTATGTGGAAGTAAGTGAGGCGGAGCTGGTAGGGAGAGAGAATAAATAAGAGAGAAATCTAAGCTCGAGAGGAAGTAAGAGTATGAGAAGGAGGAGAGAATGAGGGACACTCCTAGGGCAAGCCAGTGGGGCACCAGCCAGACATGAGAAGCAGTGAAAGTAATATACACAGAAAGAGCTGGTGTTGGCACAAGCCTTTAATCCCAGCACTCGGGAGGCAGAGGCAGGTGGATCTCTGTGAGTTCAAGTCAGCCTGGTCTACAGAGTGAGTTCCAGGACAGCCTCCAAAACAATACAGAGAAACCCTGTCTCGAAAAACAAAACACAAAACAAACAAACAAAAAGAAGATACACAAAAAGTAAAAAGTCCTGAGGCAAAAGGTAGATAAAGAAAACAGGTTAAGTTAAAAGTTAGTCAGAAAATAATGAAGGCCAAGCATTCAAAACTAATAATAAGTCTCTGTGTCATGATTTGGGAGCAGGTTGTTGACTCCAAAAAAAAGCCTGGTAACATGTATGTGATGTGTATGTGTGTCTGGAGGCAGGGGTTGGCATCACATGTTTTCCTCAATCACTTTCTGCCTCATGTTCTGAGACAGGGTCACTCACTGACTGTAAGGCCAGCTGGCCAATGAGCTCTGGGGACCCATCTGAACACTCACAGAGCAACTCCAGAGTCCAGTTTTTCCTTGGTACTGGGATCAGAACCCAGGTCCTCAAGCTCACACAGGCCCTTTACCAACTGAACCCCAGCCCATGCTCTCTTTTCTGTAGTATGTCTGTAGTATGTTTAACATATCAGATGAATATTTTAAACAGAATTTTTTTGGGGGTATCATTTTTTTCAGGACAAACCTCTGGAATTTTTGTCAGATTTCCTGCTGAGGAAATCCAGTCAAAAGAGTGAAGAATTTGAAGGAAATGATATCCTGATAGAATGTGGTGTAAAAGTAACATCGGATCCACTCATGAAGGTAAAAGTTGCTGTTGTGTTTTTTATGCCTCAGTGCTTCTCTGTAGAGGGAGGATCCTGTGGGGAAGAGATTCTCCTGAAGGATGATGGTTTTCCTGGAAAGCTTCCAGCTACTAGTTGTTTCATTGTCATGAACTATTGTTAAATGGGGCATTCCGTGGCGCTCTGGGTGAGTGGATGGGGTGTTCCGTGGTGCTCTGGGTGAGTGGATGGGGTGTTCCATGGCGCTCTGGGTAAGTGGATGGGGTGTTCTGTGGCACTCTTATGTGAGTGGATGGGGTGTTCCGTGGCACTCTATGTGAGTGGATGGGGGTTCCGTGGCACTCTTATGTGAGTGGATGGGGTGTTCCGTGGCACTCTTATGTGAGTGGATGGGGTGTTCCGTGGCACTCTAGGTGAGTGGATGGGGTGTTCTATGATGACACTCTATGTGAGTGGATGGGGTATTCCGTGGCAGTCTTATGTGAGTGGATGGGATGTTCCGTGGCAGTCTTATGTGAGTGGATGTGGTGTTCCGTGGCACTCTAGGTGAGTGGATACCGTTCTATGACGACACTCTATGTGAGTGGATGGGGTATTCCGTGGCACTCTATGTGAGTGGATGGGGTGTTCCGTGGCACTCTTATGTGAATGGATGGGGTGTTCCATGGCACTCTTATGTGAGTGGATGGGGTGTTCCGTGGCACTCTTATGTGAGTGGATGGGGTGTTCCGTGGCACTCTATGTGAGTGGATGGGCTGTTCCATGGCACACTATGTGAGTGGATGGAGTGTTCTGTGATGACACTCTATGTGAGTGGATGGGGTTTCTGTGATGACACTCTATGTGAGTGGACGGGGTGTTCCGTGGCACTCTATGTAAGTGGATGGGGTGTTCCGTGGCACTCTATGTGAGTGGATGGGGTGTTCCATGGCACACTATGTGAGTGGATGGAGTGTTCTGTGACGACACTCTATGTGAGTGGATGGGGTGTTCCGTGGCACACTATGTGAGTGGATGGAGTGTTCTGTGACGACACTCTATGTGAGTGGATGGGGTGTTCTGTGACGACACTCTATGTGAGTGGATGGGGGTTCCGTGGCACTCTAGGTGAATGGATGGGGTGTTCCGTGGCACTCTATGTGAGTGGATGGGGGTTCCATGGCACTCTATGTGAGTGGATGGGCTGTTGCGTGGCACTCTATGTGAATGGATGGGGTGTTCTGTGACGACACTCTATGTGAGTGTATGGGGTATTCCATGGCACTCTTATGTGAGTGGATGGGGTGTTCCGTGGCAATCTTATGTGAGTGGATGGGGTGTTCCGTGGCACTCTATGTGAATGGATGGGGTGTTCTGTGATGACACTCTATGTGAGTGTATGGGGTGTTCCATGGCACTCTAGGTGAAAGGATGGGGTGTTCCGTGGCACTCTTATGTGAGTGGATGGGGTGTTCCGTGGCACTCTTATGCGAGTGAATGGGGTGTTCCGTGGCACTCTAGGTGAATGGATGGGGTGTTCTGTGGCACACTATGTGAGTGGATGGGGTGTTCCGTGGCACTCTATGTGAGTGGATGGGGGTTCCGTGGCACTCTTATGTGAGTGGATGGGGTGTTCCGTGGCACTCTTATGTGAGTGGATGGGGTGTTCCGTGGTAGTCTTATGTGAGTGGATGGGGTGTTCCGTGGTAGTCTTATGTGAGTGGATGGGGTGTTCCGTGGCACTCTTATGTGAGTGGATGGTGTGTTCCGTGGCACTCTATGTGAGTGGATGGGCTGTTCTGTGGCACTCTAGGTGAATGGATGGGGTGTTCCGTGGCACTCTTATGTGAGTGGATGGGGTGTTTTGTGGCACTCTAGGTGAATGGATGGGGTGTTCCATGGCACTCTATTTGAGTGGATGGAGTGTTCCGTGGCACTCTATGTGAGTGGATGGGGTGTTCCGTGGCACTCTATGTGAGTGGATGGGGTGTTCCGTGGCACTCTAGGTGAGTGGATGGAGTGTTCCATGGCACTCTTATGTGAGTGGATGGGGTGTTCCGTGGCACTCTAGGTGAGTGGATGGGGTGTTCTGTGGCACTCTGCATGAGTGACGTTTAAGTTACTTCAGAACACGAGCTCCTTCCATGACTGTGATTTGCTGGAGCAGAGCTGCAAATCTGCATTTTGCCTTACCACTTACTCCCCTGAGTTCTCACTGAGGTAACTTGAAAGAAAAAAAATTCGCAGACTAAGATCCATTTTGTTGTGTATGAAACTAAGTCTTCTTTCACAGCAGGTGGTGGCATACAACTTTAATCCCAGCACTTGGGAGGCAGAAGCAGGTGGATCTCTGTGAGTTCTAGGCCAGTCTGGTCTATGAATTAAGTTCCAAGGCCTCTCAGGGCTACACAACGAGACTGCCAATACCAAACCAAACAAAAGAATTCTTTTTTCCCCTCTCCTTCCTCCTCTTCATTGTCCTCTTCTCTTTTCTGAGATAGGGTCTCCTGTAGTCCAGGCTGGCTTTGAACTCACCGAGGAGCTGAGGAAGACCTTGAACTCCTTCCTAATCCTCCTGCCCCCTACTTGCCAGGTTCTGGGATTGCAGGTGTATGACACTATGATGGGTTTATGAAGAACTGAGATCAAGCCCTGGGTTTCATAAATGATAGGTGATAATACACTACAGACTTGCATTTGAAGACCTCTTCTTTCTTCAGTTGAGATTCAAATTCATAAAAGAAAAACATAAGGCTGAAGCTAATCCTTCAAAAGAGACTAATTTTACCAATGCTCAATTCTGAATTCCCATATTCTTGGTTACATGAAATAATCAGAACTCATTGTCATTCGCAGAACTGATTTATTACATGGAGAAAATGCCATTTTAAAACCATTTATGCCCAGGGGGAAGATATGTGAGGGCTTAGAACTCTGTCACCCAATGCAGAGTCCCCTAGTACTTCACTAGAGCACAACATAGCAGTCACAGGAGACTTGGGGGACATTTCCCTTTGCTTAGCACACTACTAGTCCATCCAGAGAGGAGTATCTCCACACTGGGGTAAGTTTTAAAACTATAGTTATTTGTTTCAAAGAACTCATAAACCCACAGTTACAATAATGGAAATAATGATATCTCTCAGATGGAAGTCCTAAAGGGGCTTGTGCAACAAGGGCTCATCTGTCTATCTCTCTGTCTCTTTGTCTGTCTGTCTGTCTGATATTATCATCCATCCATCCACCCATCCTAGTCATTACGCCAGATTTGCAATGTCCCCATGGGTTCTTGTTTCAAGTGTTTGGTTCCAGCGTGTTGGTACCCTTTAGAAGTCTTCAGGAACCTGCCTGATGAAGGGTGGATACTAGTGTCAGGCCTTAGACGGTTATGGCTGATTCTGGTCCATGCCATGTGAACAAGTTATCACCTCCTGCCCCAGCAGCCATCGAAGGCGACACGCCACCTTGCCTTTTGCACCACAGTGGACTGAAATATTCTGAAACTGTGACCCAAAACAAATCCCTTCTCCATGTGCTGCTTCTGTCAGGCATTTTGTGACAGTGACAGGACAGTAAATAATTGTCACTATTCTCTCTCCTCTGTCCCCTCATGCTGCTGTCCGAGCAGTCCTTATTCCCAGGCTGCTGTGTGCTCCATAGTATTTATACTGACATTGTGCAACCATGGTGATGAGAGGCCATAAGAATCAAAGTCTCATTTCACTGCCATTTCTGGTCCCTGATACAGGCAGCTCTGTGCTTTCTGGGGTCATCAGTCAGGTGGAGAGTGAATAGAGAATACCTTACCTGCCCGCTGTCTATTCTAGCTAAAAGCTTCTACCATGTGATCCAAACCCAGCCCTATAAGCTTATTTCTTGCAGTTACATTTATAGGTAATAGACAATCATTCAACAAAATAAGCATTTCTGTAAAGTTGCAAAGGGCACTGCTCTCTATTCACTCTTAAAAACAGAATAAGGGATGGCACCATAATTTTAAAATAGGCTAAAATTCCCAACAATTGTAATTATGCTTACTATAAAATAAGTCACCCTGTTTATGTTCAAACAACATTTCTAGGCTGCATTTTCTATGTCTTACATATGTTATATATTTTAATGTGTGTGTGTTTACACGTGTGCCAGTACATGCAGTACATGCAGAGATTAGAGGCATCAGATCCTGGGAGATCCTCTTATAGAGGACTGGGGTTCGGTTCTCAGTACCCACAGTGGCTCACAGCCATCTGAAACTCCAGTTCCAGGGCGTCTGAATCTGATGCCCTCTTCTGACCTCCACAGGCACTAAGTACACACATGATATACATACATACATGCAAGCAAAATGCTCATACACATAAAATAAAAATAAATCTTTAGGCCGGGCGCTGGTGGCACACACCTTTAATCCCAGCACTCCGGAAGCAGAGGCAAGCAAATCTCTATGAGTTTGAGGCTAGCCTGATCTACAGAGCGAGTTCCAGGATAGCCTCCAAAATAATACAGAGAAACTCTGTCTCGAAGGAAAAAAAAAAGCCAAATACTTTAGCCGGGAGGTGGTGGCACACACCTTTAATCTCGGCACTTGGGAGTCAGAGGTAGATGGATCTATGCAAAGTTCAAGGCCAACTTGGTCTACAAAAGTGAGTTCCAGGACAGGATCTGTTGCAATTAAAAAAAAAAAAAAGCAGCACAAGAGAGAAAGATGCCATGAGACAGAATTCAAGTGGAGGTTTTTTTTTTTTGAGGGGGGAGGCATCATATAAGGGGAAAGGGGATGGGGGAGACCAGTCTCTAGGGACAGGAGCATCAGGAAAGAGAGAGGGAGGGAGAGGGAGAGGGGGAAGGGGAAGGAGAGGGAGAAGGTGAGGGAGAGGGAGAGGGGGAGGGAGGTGGGCGGGTGGTAGGCAGGGCCCTTTAAAAAGGAAATGTAGTGAATGTACATAGGTGTTGCTCTCAGTGGCTGCAGCTGAAGGTGTGTCCTGTCAGACCCCAGGGCAGGCCAGTACAGATGCCTGAATACTAATAGGCTTCAAAGCTACACAGCAAAACCTTGTCTCATAGAAACCAAAATAAATAATAAGTAAACAAGTTAATAAAAAATAAATCTTTAAAAGAAGGAGAAAGAGTAGGAGGAGGGGAAGAGAAGGAGGAAGAGGAGGAAGAAGAAGAAACAAAAGGAAAGAAGGAAGGAAGGAAAGTAGGGAGGGAGGGAGGTAGGGAGGGAGGGAGGAAGGGAGGGAGGAAGGAAGGAGGGTACAGCTGCTGGGATGATGTAAAGCTCCTGCATGCACACCACAGGGGCAGAATCTGATGTGTCAGCTCTCAGGTGACCAAGCACAGCATGTTGATGCGTCAGCTTTTGATGGCTGTGAAATACCCGACACAATGGAAGGAGACAGGTTGCTTCTCACGGTCTCTGAGGTTTCAGTCCACAGTTATGTAGCCTTGTTTTGGGCCTGTGGCCAGGCAGCGCATTGTGGTGGAAGCATGAGATACAGAAGAAACAGTTTGCCTCCAGATGAGCCAGGCAGTGAAAGCAAGTAGGAAAAGGCAGGCAAGCCAAGGTCCCCAGATCCCTTCATGAGTGCGCCCCCATGATGCAATGTCCTATCATGAGTGCACCCCCATGACCCAATGTCCTATCATGAGTGCACCCCCATGACCCAATGTCCTATCATGAGTGCACCCCCATGACCCAATGTCCTATCATGAGTGCACTCCCATGACCCAGTGACCTACCACTAGGCCTCACCTCCCAGTACAGGGCAAGGATTAGCTTTCCACACATGGTCTTTGAGGGACACTTGAGTATCCCCAGCAATAGCAGGTGCTCTTCCACACCAGAGCAGCTACTTTATGTGAGAGGTTGCACCACAATTGTGCAGTGTTCCAGTTGTCCTCATTTTGAGACTGTGCGAGTTGGATTCTCATCTTACATCTGCAGCTGCTTTCTCCTGGAGAGCCACTGGTGTCTCCACTGCCTTGACAAAGTGGTGATTTCCTGGCTATAAATAACCAGCGCTAATGAAGAGTGTTCTACTCACAGGGAAATTCTGGTGTGTGTGTGTGTGTGTGTGTGTGTGTGTGTGTGGCTTTTTTTCCTTCAAAATTTAAAGGTCTCTCTCTCCCCAAGCCAAAAGTATAAAACGTACCAGGCTGGCATGAGACAGTCATACATGGAAAAAGCAGGGAGTCCCTGGAGTAGCACTCTAGTGGCATAGTCGGCAAACCAGGAGAGATCTGTGAATGGCCACTGCTCAGGGACCACCTCCTGTACCAAAGTTTCTGTTTGCTGTATAAACTGTCGACATGACTGTTCCATGGTGATGTTATAGGGAGAGAGAGAGAGAGAGAGAGAGAGAGAGAGAGAGAGAGAGAGAGAGAGAGAGAGAGAGAGAGAGAGAGAGAGAGAGAGAGAGAAGTAGACTGAACATGGCGAGCAGACAGGACACGACCAGGGCTATCTGAGAGAGGGGGGAGAATAGCAGGGGATACAGAATAGAGAAAACAGCGAGAGAAGCAAAAGCAGAGCAGAGAGAGAGAGAGATCAAGAGAAAGAGAGAGATGGAAGGAGAGAGGGGGTAACATAAGGAGAATAGCAGGGCTATAAGGAGAATGAGTTGCTGGGAGTGGGGGAGCCCATGTACCTGAGGGAGTGTTGGGTAAAGGAGGAAGTGAGAAAAGCTAGGATGCCAGCCTGGGCTTTGAAATGTGTAACAGCCTGGGCTTTGAAATGTGTAACAGGTGCTTGTGATACTGAGGGAGCTAGAGGCCAGCATGAGCTTTGATCTATTAATAGGCACCACAGGTAGCCATTTGTCCCTTCTGATAGAGGTTAGGGAAATGACTCCTTTCCATAGATGGGAACTAGTTTCAAAAGTTACTGACTTTTATCAAACTGCCAGAAATCTTCCTATAGTTCAGGTTGAGCTCATTTCCGGATATTTGAAATTCTTTTTGGAGTTTGGGGGAATTGGAGTTGCCTTTGGACCTGAAAGCTGCTATATGAAACCACACAGATACAGAATACAGTCATTTTCTCCTGATTAGATAAAAGGAGTCTTAGTTGAAAACTGATGTTTATAACTAGGCCTGATGGTGCACGCCTGTAATCCTAGCACTTAGGAGGTTCTAGGAGGGTCAAGAGATCAAGGTCAGCCTTCGCTAGAGAGCAAATCTAAGGACAGTCTAGGATACTGGGGACTCTGTTTCAAGGCAACAGGACAAGCAGAGCCTCAAACAAGGTGATGTTTGTTCTTCAACCGCTTCCAAGGACAGCAGGGGATCTCTACTAAGAGCTTTATCCTTGAGTAGGGAGAGCCGCAGTCAGAACTGCTGTTCTGGTCTTCCAACAGGAACACGGGGCTATTGTTCTGTTGCTAGAGGGGCCCCTGGCATGCTTGCTGCTCAGGTAACCCTGGGACATTTTAATTTTGATGTGCTAATTTATAAGCAGGCTGCAAGATACAGTAAAGAGAGAAAAAGCCGTATGTAAATGTGAAAGCAGACAAATCTTGTGAACTGTTTTATGACACTTTATCATGAGTTGAGAAAAGGGGTGAATTTAATAAAGTGTTAGAGCTTGTTCTCTCTAGCATCTTCAAAGTGAGATTAGCCACTTCCCAGCAGCTGCGAAGAGGAGAAGCAGTCTGAGATCCCTGACAAAACCCCTACCCCCCACCCCACCTTTCAGGGAAGAGGCTAGAATTTAGTTTTTAAGTGTAGTAGCTCAAAGGAAGCTAAAGGCTGTTTATTTTTAATTTTTCTGTGCGTATTTATGTATGCATACGAGTGCATGTTTGTACACATATGGAGACCAGGCTGGTGAGTATCTTCTGTTATCCACATCTGTCTGTCTGTCTGTCTGTCTGTCTGTCTGTCTGTCTGTCTGTCTGTCTGTCTATCTATCTATCTATCTACCTACCTACCTACCTACCTACCAGCCTGGAATTTGCTGTTGTGGATAGACTGGTTGACTAGCAAACCCTGGGGACCCTCCTACTTCTTCCTCCTAAGGCTGGGATTACATGTGGGCACTATTACCCACTGAACCAGCTCCAGAGTCCCTAAGGTAGTAGTTCTCAACCTTCCTAGTGCTGCAACACTTTAGTACCTCATGCTGTGGTGACCCCAGCCATAAAATTATTTCATTGCTACTTCATAAGTATAATTTTGCTACTGTTATGAATTGTAATGTAAATATCTAGCATGCAGGATATCTGATATGTGACCCCCCACAAGGGGGTGGAGACCCACTGGTTGAGAGCCACTGTCCTAAGGGCTGCTACTAAAAGCATACATCTTAAGTTTAAGAGAGGCACCACATTGGTCAGGTGCTTAATTCACTGTGCCTAGGGACCTTGCAATGACAGCTGAAGGCAGATGGCTTCCCAGGGCTTGTATGTGCAGAGTACTGAATGGGCTTTCAGGGACTACAGGACCCACCTCCAAGTAACCAAGTCCATTTCATCTTCAGGAAAGAAGTGCCATAGAAGGCAATTCTCAGGACAGAAAGTCTGGTCCAGGCCAAAGCGTCCTGAGCATGGAAGTGCTTAAGCTGGTAAGCCACCTATTAGCAATTAGGATCTTAACAGTGTTGTCGATGACACGGAAGGCTCATTATTTACCATGGTTAGTTCTTTGTTTTCCTTGGAAACATCCCTTAAAGAGAGGAACATCCAACCAACTACTTAACTGAATTGGAGGAAAACCCACTTGGTAGATTTTATTCCCCTGGAGGCTATGCTATAGACTCAGAAGTTGATTCAGAGGATAAAGACATGTGGGAAAAAAAATCTGTGTGTGATCCTATGGTTTTCTATGACTAGGACATCATTTAAAGAAAGGGTACAGGATCTCGAGGTTTGCAGTTTTTAATTGGCTCATCAACTTATAGGCTGACTTCAAAAGTTTGCTCTAGTCATTATATGGGACGTGCTCTGCCCTGGGTGATGGACAGCCTTTAGAGGGGGATGCCAGACATGCAGAGACCACTCCTGTTGCCAAAATGCACAGCATGCACATATTATTTTGCAGTATTCAACATGGCTTCGCATTTGTTTCCATTTCTTTTTCCAAAGACTCGAAAGAAGATGTTAGTATCCACAGTTTTACAGATGAACACCTGAGTTAGAGAAAGTAGGTGACTCATCTAAGGTTAGACTCTTAGAGAAACATTTAGGAGTTCTGCAGCCTTGAGCTCAGACCTAGAGATCTTTAGAGTCCCATCCTTGGAAACAGGGAGGGTCCAGGGCAGGTCTTTCCCTCAGGACATAGTGTCTCACTCTCCCTACAGATCACTCACTAGAAATCAGCACAGAAGCTATCACAATTGATGGTAGCAGCTGCCACAGCCTTCTGAGCATTGGCGTTACACACCTGTATTGCCATGCCCGGCTAGGATTAATTTCTTAAAATTGCTTTTGGCCGTGCTAGGATGTGAATCCAGAGTCATTCAGACAAGTGCTCCTCCACTGGGTTGCATCCTCAGCTCTTGGTTTTTTGAGACAAAGGTTTGCTGTGTGGCCCAGGCTGGCTCTTAATTCATAGTCCTCTTGCCTGGTGAGGCCTCCCAAGTGCTGAGATTACAGATATATGTACCCATGTCCTGACTGGAATTTTTTTTGACAGATTTAATTTTACTTCAAAGACAGATAGTCCTATGCAGAAGAATTGCATGGAAAGGCATCTGTCCTTTGGAGGTTGGGATCTAGGCTGAGCCTGCCCAAGTGTAGAGTTTGCTTAGCATGTACAAGACTGGGTTTAATACCCAGGGTCAGAAAAAAAAGCCTTGCTTTCTAGTGATAAGTGAAAAACTAAAAAAGCACTGTAATTGTCAAATAGAGCAGGTATGTAAGGATTTATATGCTGTTCTGTTTACAGAGGGAACATAAAAAATCTCTTCTGGAATAGAAAGGTAGGAGCCAAGTGAATGCTCCTGCCTCTCCCAGGGGAAGGGCGATTTTACAAGGGTATTCCCCAACCCTGTGTATGTCAGCCAAGGCATCTTTGGCTGTCTGTACACATACAGTGAGGCTTCATGTACATTACCTCATGCTATCCTGGTGGATGAGGAAGAAAGAGCAGAAGACACTCAAGAGTGGGTGGAGCACGCCGGCTGTCTGTCTCAGCTCATTAGGCTACGGGGGGAATTCATCTAGATCTACACCATTGCCACCTTCCCTTAAGATGGTCCCTCTCTTGGGTCTTGCCTCTTCTTCCTCTTGAGGTATCTTGCTATGGGCCCTTGCTGAGGGCCTCAGTCATTACATTTCTTCTGAATTCCTGATGTTTTCTGCAGGAGAGAAAGCTCCAGATGGACTCAGTAGAGAAACGAACCCGAGTTGTGAGGGAGCTTTTAAAGAGTGAGAGACAGTATGTACAGATGCTGGGAATCGTGAGGGATGTGTATGCCAGGCCCCTGCGGGCAGCGCTCTCCTCAAACAGAGCCATTCTGAGCGCCTCCAATATGCACATCATTTTCTCTGATACTCTTCGAATCTTAAATCTCAACAGGTAAAGCTTTTTTTTTCCTTTGGTTTTTCTCGAGACAAGGTTTCTCTATGGCTTTGGAGGCTGTCCTGGAACTAACTCTTGTAGATCAGGCTGGTCTCAAACTCACAGAGATCTGCCTGCCTCTGCCTTCCGAGTGCTGGGATTACAGGCTTGCACCACCAACGCCCGGCTTCAACAGGTAAATCTTAAAGATAGATTCTTCAAGATGTACTCCCCAGATGGTGGGGAGAGCACACTTTGTCTCCAAAGTTCCACCATGGCTCAGCCATTCTCTATTTTTATGGGGATCCCATTACCTGGAAGAACAGAGAGTCTTCTTTGCATGTTACTAGACAGCTACAACCAGCAGTGGTGGCTTCCACTGCTACCCCAGCCACAGGTCACAGCATGTGCAAGAAAAGAATTCAATGCCTAGGCATTCTGTTATCAGTAAACTGCTCACACAAAAGTCCATGGGAAAGAGTCAACAGTGTCTAATTGAATGACAGAGCAGGAACACAAGAGCTCTCTGCTTTTCCATTGTGGGTTTCCTATATATGTATCAAGAGATTGAGAACAATGGTTTCTCTTTATGGTAGGGTTAAATGAGCCAAATGCTGGTCTTAGTCAATTTCTACAGATCTGGAGAGCCCCTCACCTCTATGGGTCCAGCTCCTATTCAGAGACAAGGCTGATGGAAACCTTTGTTTTCATGGGCTGGAATGGCTGAGAAGGGTCACCTTGGATCTGCAGAGTATGGGGGCTGTATACAAGTTAGGGCTGTATGCAAGTTAAAGGTGAAAGGCCAAGGCCTTGAAGCTTTTGAAGGGCACCATTTTCCTCAGAGGACTGAGAATGTCCATGGCTTTGGCTCTCTGATGGTGGGACATTCAGAAGTGGCTCTACTGTGGGAAGCTGGATTCTGACAAGAAATTAATGTCAAAGATGGGATCCTGGACAGCCAACCTCTTCCCTTACTACCCAGCTCCCCGATCCTGTCAAATCCAGATTTCTCTGTGGTAAGGCACTCAACTGGTCAAGAGCAAGTCCTACCTCAGAACATTGGGCAGAAGCCTATGCTAATGGATTTGTTGCTTACATTTGGAGGCTCTCACAGGCTCCTATTTCAAGATGCAATCTTCTCGTATTGTAGAGAATTTCTAGATAACCTAAGAAACAGACTGCAGGAATGGAGCCCAGCTCAGTGTGTTGGAGAAATATTCATAAAATTTGGGAGGCAGCTGAACACATACACCAATTTCTTCAACAACTATCCAGTTGTTCTGAAAACCATCGAGAAGGTAAGCAGTTGTGTTACCTCCATGCTAACACTACACAAACTGAAAGACTGAGGTAAATGGGAAGGGGAGCTTCTCAGCTGCTTCCTCTCAGGTCTCCTCCCCTGTACCCGGAGCTTCTTGATGACAGGGACCTCGACATAGAGGTTAACACAAAGCCGTGCTCAGGAAATGATAGTTGATCTGTAGCTATTTCCATATATATTGCCAAATTTTCATGCACCCCAGCCACTTAGTGGTTCAGTGGCAGGACATTAAACAATGAAGTTGGAGCAAGAGTGTGAGCTCAGAATGCTCTGCTGCTGCAATGCCAGGGGCGTGGGCACACATGGTTGCCTCAATGGCTTTCTTGACCACAACTCTAGACCTTGAGGACAAGACTTAGAGCAAAGAGTGTCACCAGAAACAAACTAGTGGCAAAACTTTTATAGCCACGGCAAACCCTGATGCCTACTTCATTAGCATAGTGAGTGCATCCAGCTGTTCATTACATTTAGCTATGGTAGCTATTATTATTTGAACATCATCAAATCTTTTAAGTCCTTTAGTTGTTCACAGGTATAAATGGTCTTATTTCTAAAATATTCTTGGGACTTGAAATCAGCAAGTCTTGGACTCAGACATTAGCAATATTGACATCTTTTAGACACGCACATACTGAATAGAAGGACACAATTTCACAGATATACGAGTGCTGATAGATGAGTACATTTGAATTAGTGAAGTTCTTTTGTATTATCACTCTGGAAAACATGAATGACTGCAGCATTAAAGGTATATATCAGTGATTGCCAAACTCTTCAGAAATAAGTAGGATTCATTGCATAGCAGGCCCTTTATGGGTGAGATTCTGTTGGCCTCACTATGAGCTGGGTCTTTGATCCATTTTACAGATGAGAAAGTCAGGTAACTTGACAAGGTCACCTACTCAATTCTAGTTCTAATCCAATCCTACCTTAATTATAAATCTGTTACTATTTCTCTCTAATGATTAAGTAAGTGGATATGGGTAGGTCTGCGGTATAATTACAGTACTAGATTAGTGTATTAGAACACATGAATGGTACTATTGATACTTAGATTAGATGGAGATGCTGCCTTCTTGTTTTGCTGTTTATAGCTCACCATTTGCTGGTGGAACTCAAGGCTTTATAACTATCTGACAGAGCAAAGTTTTGACAATGTAACCCTCACCTTTTAGTGCAGAGAAATGACACCAGCATTCAGAGCTTTCTTGAAGAGGCATGATAAGACCATTGTCACCAAAATGCTGAGGTGAGCTTCCAGGGAGAGCACAGCAGGGTACTCAAGGACAGGCCCTCCATGACCTACAAATAGCAACCAGGGTACCCTACCCTATGTCCTGTACAGCCTGCCAGAGCTGCTTCTGTACCCATCCCAGAGGTTTGAAGAATATATTCACCTTCTCTATGCTCTGAGACTCCACACTCCCACAGGACACATAGACCGTGGAGACCTGACTACTGCAATTGATCAAATCAAAAAATATAAAGACTACATAGATCAGGTGGGTTGCTGATACGCATGTGTACCTTCCAAAATGTTTCAGTGCCATTGTGGTCTCACTTGAAGACCCTGAAATGGCCTCTTTCCTGTGACTGTCTTACTTCAGTCTTCCACCCCTTTAAAGATAAATCCATAATCCTGTTTCCCAATTTTGGTCATGAAAGGCATCTATTCCAAGCCACATGGTGTAAAACAATGTTTTCAGAAAGCTCTATGGCCACAGTGCTTCCCCACACACTCAGTTTTAGACAGGGTCTTATGTGTCCCAGATTGGCTTGAACTTGATATGTAGCCAAGGATCACCTTGAACTTCTGATCTTCCTGTCTCCCTCATTTCCGGAGTGCGAAGATTAGACATTCCCCAATATTCCTAGGCAATACAGTGCTTGAACTCAAACCCGGGGTTTGTGCATACTAGGCAAGCACGCTGTCACCTGGGGCACATCCCCAGCAGTACCTCTTCTAGTGTGAAAGTATATAAAGTTTGGAATTACATAGATAATCAAAAGGAAAGCCAAATGTAAAATCTTTTGCTTCCAAAAGATTTGTTTTTAATGTATCAAATCACTTTTCTGAGTAACTATGGCACTCATAATCTCCTATATACTGTGAAGGCACATCACACCCTAAAATGACTTTTTTCCTAAATAGCCTTGTTTACTTGTCTTTGTTATTAAAATATTGGGCCTAGAGAATTGATATTTTTATTAAAGTATCAAGCCCTTTACTAGGTGCCACAAAATAATGTCATGATCTTTGCCTAATATAACCTTGTATTCTAGATAAAGGAAAACATCAAAATGAGAGAGCAGCTATCCGATGTACAGACAACCATCTCAGGATGCCCTGTATGTATGCTGATGTTTCTGCTGCATCTCATACTCCTGAGTATAACCTTGTCACTGCCAAAGAGACATACAGATCCTGAGGCAGCTAAATGTGGGATGCTGTTACTGCTAAGCACCGCAAGCTTCCATGTAACACATTCTTGTTACCTGAATTAGAAAATGCAGTATGTGAGTTGGGCCCTATCCCATGTTTGGTTTCTTCCAAAGCTATAGTTCCTTGTTTGGTGGTACTCTGATCATGACAACTCGTAAGCTGAGCATGGTCATGTGTTCTATACGTGATCTCTGTCTGACTGATAAAAGCCTTTGGTGCAAGATTCAACACACTGAAGACATCCACACACTGGAACTCTTTAACCTTATCTATCACTTGTAATCTCTTCTATTTGCCTTTATCTTCTGACTCCCCTATCACCTAAGGTGCCTACTATACCTACTCTCCATTCTTTAATAATGCAGCCTCTTGCCATTACTCTTTGAACATAAGCTTTCTTCTCTGAAACTGCCTGCCTTCCCTACTTCACTGGATAAGTGCTACTAGCCCTTTCAAAATGAGGAGCTATGGAGATAATCAGCAGGAAAAAGCTCCTGCTCCAAAGGCATGGGGACATGCGTCCAAATCTTCAGCACTCACATAAAAAGCCAGGCAGGTCACAGGCAGACACCTGTAACTCCACCATGTACGAGCTTTGACTTGTTTTCTGGTATCTAACATTCAGCAGGAGCTTCATATAGATAATGAAAGAATTAATTGGAGACACTTTTACTTGGTCAAATTGGAGAAGCAGGAGAGTGTAGTTTTGTTAAAACTATCTTTGTGTCTTAGTAAAGAAAGAGAAGTATGGTTGGTTGGACTACAAAAGTATGATTCTTAGAACTCACAGGACTTCACTTTTGGGTCTCTGTGCCCTCTTAGAAGGCACCTCATGGCCAGAATAATGCATGGACCTACTTCTTAATCTTACTAATTCATTTGCCTCTTTTTAACAGTTCCTTTTACTCCCTCCCTAACTTTGGTTTTTTTTTTTTGACAGTAGGAAAAGTATATACAAAGAAAATACCTCAGCTTTAAAAAACCGATGGCCTCAAATATTGTTTTCCTCGTCAGTTTGGTTTGCTAAAGGAAGCTTGTATTATAGAGAAAAGACAGACCTTTCTGCAACCACACTAAGTTTTAGTCAACATCTGTATGCTGTGGGATGTAGAACAGTAATTACTGCACTAGTGGGATTTCAAATAATCATGCACCCTACTTTTTATTTTACAGACTCTATCAGAAGTAAACAGATACCTGATTAGGATCCAAGATGTAGTTCAACTTCATTGCTGTGATGAGACAATGGACTTCTCTTTAAGGTGAGCAGTTATTAGTCAAAGCTGTGAACGCCTTGAAAGCAGTAATTGTCTTGCTCATTGTTCACCCCTGGCATTTAGTACCATGCTTGACCTTGTATGCAGTCAAGAGAACCTTTGCACTGAATCAAAATCACACGCATATGCCTCTAGGTGTTGTATGAGACTTTATCATTTCGTTTGTATTCTGATGGCTCCCTGGTAGAATGAGTAAACAGTGTCTGCCAAGCCTAAAAGTTCCATAGTAGACCTCAAGGTTGGTAAGTTTCCTAATGAATTCATATCCAAGTATTGTGGGAGCTCACACCAGTATTCTACTAAAAAGTGAGAGGATCATTTTATTATCCTTAGATAGCTGTTCAAATTAACACTGAAAATGACTTTACCATATTTACTTTGCATAAGGCTCAGAGATGTGTAGGAACAGATGGAAAGATGCCAAGGTTTATAAATTAGTCTTCCTGTTGCTCTTTTAGAACACGAATGGACAAGTTTTTCTATGAAGTCCGAAGAGTAAATATTTAGGATTTCCTGGCCACATGAGGTTTATGGCAATGACCTTTCATGTTGCAGCACAAAGACAGCCACACAGCACAACTGTACTCTATTCATAAATAGCACCATTATATAAATGAACAGCTGTGGCTATGTGCCAATAAAACTTTATTTACAAAAGAATTTCCTGATATCTGCTTTAGAAAATGGTCAATGTTTTCAGTATTGAGGGCAAAGACAAATTATTCAACACACAGCAAACAAATGGAAAAGAGGCTCTTTTATTCCAATGACTATTTCAGAAGACATCTATAGGTGTCAGGGCAGTGGGTAGATACTTCCTTTCACCTCCATCTCCACCTGGCTAGAACTTGAATGAAAATCAAAGGCCATGAGAAGACCTGAGTTTGATCCCCAGAACTGACAGTGGAAGAACTAACCCCTGTAAGTGGTCCTCTGACTTCCCCACCCCTCCTCCTGAACAAGTAATTCAATGTAAACAAAAAGAGAAAAATCAAATCACTGGTGAGTGTCTTGCCTCACTGACTTAGCATTTTTGTTTTTAATTGCTGTTGGCTGGCAGCAATGGGTAAGACCTTGAATAGTGGGAAGAGGCTGGCTCTGACCCCGCAAGTCTAAAGAAGCTGGCCGGGAGACATGCTAGCTGATCCAGGCTGGGTTACTCCATCTTTATATATTGGCTTCTTGAACGGTCTTCATTTCTTTGTAACTACTGGCAGTGTGTTACCTTAATTTTGGTTTGAGAAACTGTCCACTATGTTTGAAGAAAACTTTTGCTGGCTATGGAATTATATGTAGGTTGCTGGGGTTTTCTTTCTTTCATTATTTTCACATTATTTTCTTTGTGCTTGGTTAGTTTTGAGAAGTCAAATGAAGTTCTTATCCTTGTCCCTCTAGATTTTTGTTGTTCTTTGTAGTCAAGTTTGAGGGTTTTTTTTTATTTCCTTATTTCTGTTTTATGTGCACTGGTGTTTATGTACATTTTGGGTGTTGGGTTCTCTGAAACTGGAGTTACTGACAGTTGTGAGCTGCCATGTGGGTACTGGGAATTGAAGTCAGTATCTGGAAGAACAGTCAGTGCTCTTAACCACTGAGCCATCTCTCCAGCCCCTTTGAGTTTCTTATCGAGTGGTGTATTATGCCTATGTGTAGAGATTTATTCTGTTTTTAGAGCTTTCTGGAACTGTGGTTTGCACGTATTCATGGGGTATATACAGATGAGTCTGGTGTAAGGAGGGCATAAAGGTATTGGATCTGTTGGAGCTGCAATCACAAGCTGTGATTTAGCCATGGTGTGGGTGCCGGGGATTGAACTCACATCCTCTGGAACAACCACAGTTGTTCAACAAGGAGCATACCCATGAAAATAGCTCATCTCCACTCTAACAGGCTCTACGAACAGACCCGAGACCTCAGCCTCTTCCTCTTCAGTGATGTACTGCTTGTTACCAGTCGGGGCACATCTCACCCTCCGTTTGAAAGGACTTCTAAAACAACCTACCAGTTCATTGCATCTGTGGCCCTTCCCAGCATGCTCATAGAAGACATTCCAGACTCCAAATGTATGCATTTTCTTTCATGAGAAAAACCATCTCATACCAAACTCATTAACTAAATTGGCATCTAGTTAGTTCCTCTATAAAAGAGCATTTGCAAAGTGTGCTTAGTAAGTACACAGTGATTTACAACTCCAATAGAAATAGCACATCATAAAAGAATGAAACTTAAGCCAGTTGGGCTTATTGTTAACATTGCATACGGCAACTCCTCTATTTGGCAGGCTTCATAGGATTTGTTTCTTCCTGCATTTCTGTTAGCACAGGTAACTAGAAGGTAACATTTCTCACTTCAATACCTTCCCTGAGTGTGGACAGGGCCTCAGCTTAAAGCAGGAGCCAAGACCTTATTGAAGTTTTTGACTTTCGAGTCTCACTAACCCTTTAACCACTGAGTACGGTTAGAATGGAAACATGCTTCTTTTCTTTAGTTCCCTCCTACTGCAATTGCCAGCTGTGCTTACACAAGAGCACGGACACCCAGCTAAGACTATAGTTGCCTGTGTCATTCACACCAACACGACTTGAGGTCTAGTTTTCACGGATTCCAGTTCTTTCTAGAGGCACTGAAACAAGGGATTAAAGGGCTTCACATTAGCTATCATCTGGCCTTTTAAATAACTGACAATTATAAAGATAGGAATTTTGATGATGTTTCAGTTTTGTTTAGAAGACAATTTTCTAAACTCTGTGCTCACTTTGAATCCTTGATTGTAGGCTTTAAAAAATCTAAGACTATCTAGTCAAATCTTGAACTTAAAACATTTTTGATAATTGCCTGGTAAGATTAAACATTAATGTAGCATCACTGCAGAACTGCTTGGCTGTAAAGAAAACCTTGCCATATCACTGATGAACACAGAGGACATTACATTTAAGTGAAATAAACTAAGCAGGGGAAAAAGATGTTCCTTAATCAGGCAATGATGACAATTATGTAACTATAAATAGTCAAAATCAGTAAGTGGTATACTTTCAATAGATGAAAAGAATAATGTACCTCAAATGTTTTCACAGATGTCAAGAATGCATTCATTCTTCAAGGCCCAAAACGTGAATGGATCTGTGCTACTGAGGTGGCAGATGATAAGCTCCTTTGGTTGTCTGTACTGCAAACTGCAGTTAGAAGCAGTATGAAGTGAGACAAGATTCAGACAGACACGAGGGTCCTGGGAAGTCCTAGCATTTTCTGCTCCAGCTCATCTGGACAGCACATAGCACCAGTCATGGAGGGTGAGGGGATGGAAGAGCTAGGAGCGCCTCTGAGTTCCTTCCAACTTTCAAAATGTATGGTTAAGCTTTTAAGAATGCAGAAGAACAAGTCTAAAATTTTGAACCACATCTTTTGGTAGCTACTGCTCATGGGCATTATTTAAAACAATTTGACATGATGAGTAATGAGAAAAAACATGTTGGTTTTAAAAAAAAACGAGTAATGAAAAATCAGAATGAATAATGTTTATTTCATGAACATTCTAGAAAAATACTTGGATTTGTTTGTGACTCACCAATCAATATCAACTTTTCCATGAAGTAATTAATGGTTTTAAGGGTATGCCTTAGAAATATAAATGGCAGCTTTCTTGAGCACGTGTCAAATAATGTGAATGTGCCCCTTCAAAAAGCATTAGCATATGACATTTCAAAGAACTAAAACATTTGGTGGGTTTTGTTTCTTTGTTTTCTACAATTCTTACTTTTTGCTTTAAGACAAAATTCTTATGTTTTCCAAATAACCTTAAAACATTTTAACTATAATATTAGAAATTTAGTAGTGGGAGAATCTGATTTTTAAATAACAAAAATTAATGACTGGGACTGGAGATACAGCTCATTGGTTAAGAGCACTGGCTCTTCTTCCAGAGAATCCAGATTCAATTCCCGGAGCCCACATGGCAGATTGTAACCTGTAACTCCAGTTCTAGGGAAACTGATACTCTCTGGCCTCCATGGGTGCTAGGTATGGATGCAGTGCACAGAGATACATCCAGGCAAAACACACATACTCATAAAAATTCAAATAATCTGCAAAAATTAATGGAAATTGTTGCCATTCAGACTCAGAGCCCAGAGACTCCTGAACTAGAAATGGGCCTGAATGCCTCCTCCCGAAGAACTAGCTTTTGACCCACCCAGAAGATGGCATGTAAGCATCCAAAGGAGGGAAGCAACCAACAGTCCTACCTAGCTATGATGTCTATGAAATACAATGACCAGCATGGCAAGATAACCCAAGAGTGCAGCTGTGCATGCATACTGGGGGTCGCCAACAGCTCTCTAATTGGACATAAGGCCATCTCAACTGGAATGAAACTATGCCTGGTAATGGAAAGGTAGCCAACTACTCAGGGTTAGTGAAGTCATGGATCTTGGAGAATCTGCAACCACCACTTTACTAAACCAGCATAATCCCTAACAACATTCTAAATATTTGTCCTTTTAGTCACCAATAAGTGTGGTCCTTATCCCTCAATAAGGAAACCTTTCTTTGCAACAGACAGAATCATTGCAGAAAACCACAACCAATCAAATAGCAGATCTATGGAACCCAGTCCCAAAGGATTCATCTACGAAACATCCTCAGAACTAAGGGTCAGGGAACACTGTGGAAGGCCGGGGTTATACGAGCCAGAGGATGTCCTAGTAATGCCAGAAGCTACACCCATAGAGACTCACCAACACGATGACTACTTAAACATGAGCTGAACAAGGATAGCTACAACAGAAACGACAACGAGGATGGGCAAAGATCATCAGATCTCAACCCTATACAAAGAACTATAGACAACCATGGTGCAGAGAGCGGGAGAAATACCTCCTCAGGGAAGATAATGACTGATACCCAACAGCAACTGGTCAGCCCTGAAAACACGCATACAAATAACATTCACAGATTGAGCAGACTGTATTTAGGAATATGAAAAAAAGGAGTCATGAATTTGAAAGAGAGTAAGGATATAATCTCAAAAACTAAAAGTAGCAGCCAGGTATAGTGGTGCACACCTTTAATCTCAACACTTCAGATGTAGAAGCAGGAAGATCTCTGTGAGTTTGAGGCCAGCCTGGTCTACATAGAGTTCCAGGACAGCCAGGGATACAGAGGCCCTGTCTTAAAATAAATGAGCAAGTAAACAAATAAAAAGTGGAAATCTAACAAAAAAAAAGTGCCTGAAATGAAATTTAGCTGAGTGAAAATGAATTCTTTTTGCATCGTTAAATGATTGGTGAAAGTATGTATTAATTGGGATTATGTTATTTTTTGTTTTGTAACGTGTTATGGTAATTAAATCCATTGGTATATTGTAGGATTGTGAACTCAGGATACTTAAATATATTTTAATACTGAAATGATGTAATTCTTAGAAGTTTAAATTCTGGCTAAAACATATAGAAATTAAATATTATGCTTTCTTATTTGTGTAAAAATTATACTCAGCTGTGTGGTATTGGTGTACACCTTTAATTCCAGCACTCAGAAAGGGAGAGGCAGGTGGATCTCTGTGAGTTCAAGGCCACTTGGTCTACAGAGCAAGTTCCAGGACAGCCAAGGCTACACAGAAAACCCTCTCAAAAAACCACACACAATAAATTAGAAAGATTCTGTTATGAATGGATCAGTAAAGTTAAGTCATAAAGTAACCTTTAAAGGTGACGACTCTTGGTAGTTAGTAATGAATGCAAACTAATACATAGTACCCAGAAATATCTATCCTGACAGGGGAGGGCACATCCTAGAGACTTTACTAGCAACACTATATGGAAAAAAGTGATAATGTAGTTGAGGATAACCTAGAAATCCGAAGTAACTAGTTCTCATGTGAACTGATACCCTTAGAAATTTACAACCATTACTTGAAAATGCTATCTGTGAAGCTTTTGTATGTGCTTAGAGGTAGAAGTCAGAGGACAGCCTGCGTGTCAGTTTGCAGGCATCTCCACATTTTTTAAAAGACTGGGTCTTTCACTGGCCAGAGAACCCGAGGAACCTGTCTGTCTGTCCTCTCAGTGCTGGGATTACAAGCATAAAACCATTCCTGGCATTAAAAAATTCAAAACAGAGTTCTGAGTTGAATTCTCAGGTTCTCTTCCTTGCAAGGTTAGCACTCACCACTGAAGTAGGACCCTAACCCTGCCAGATCTCAAGTAGAGTCAGTACTTCAGTCACGCACAGAGCAGGAATGTGTTCAATGGCTTTCCCCACTCCTCATGTAGTGTTTTCAGCCTTTTCATTCACCGTGAGGGGACAATGAAGAAAGACTTCTCTTTATAGTTAGTAAGCTCACAGCACTCCTGTTGAATTAAACCCTTACATAAACACACACAAAAATAACAAGTCATGGGTGAAACTGGTCAAGAAAAACATAAACCCTGACCCTGAGTTGGCATGTCAAACAAGCTTCAAGTACTACATGATTTCCTGACTAATGCCGAGTAAGGCCTTGAAGAAGAAAGGGAAGTATTCTCTGAGAAACACACCAGGCTCTTGAATCAAATACAGAGTAGGAAGCTCATCTTAAACCCTTTGTAGAATAGAAAAACGCTGAGAGTTTGAAATCGTTTTCCTTTTACAAATATTTCTGAGTTTGTGCTTGAGGAAAAGACCATTCTGTAAATCCAGTCATGGTGAGGTTTGGCCACATATCACGAGGGGACTGTATGACTGCTATCTGATGTTATGGCATAGGAAGGGTGAGTCATGCCAACAAACACAAAGTATCCTCCAGAAAAAGTCCTCCTGACCCTTTTATTGTTGAAATTAAAAAATAAAAGATACTTAAATACAATGGTGAACATATAGGGCAAAACAGAATCATAAAATTTAATGATCAATTAAGCAGTGAGCTGAATGTTTGGGTTTCCAAATAGGCTCTGAACCCAAAACTGCTTAAAAATGGGCATGTTCACAGTTAACGGCAATTGGCTTAGAGGTGAGAGAATGGTCGGAGTTGTTCCAGTTGAACTTCCAGGGAAATTCTCTCCTCAAGAACATCCTGAAAAAGACGTAAAGTCCAAGTCATGTTGAAAGTAGACAAAAATCTGACACTAGTTCTGCTTCATACTAACAATTGCATTTGTCAAGAGAAAGCAACAGAGATTAATATTTTAAAATAGTCCACTTTAGAAGGTAATTTGTACATTCATAATAGGAAAACAAGATCCTACTAATTCAAAGCCATTTCTGGTGACAGAATCAGGTAGCAAAATGCTTTTAGGTTAATTGTGACAAAAGCCAGTGATTATAGCAAATGGTATTACTGCACAAATTGAATAAAGCCTTAATTAACTATACATGAATTTATTAACATGAATTCTTTCCTCTGGTGATGGTATCTGATCTAGATCTCATTGTGAATTTCAGTTTTAAAAAAAGATTTATTCTTCATTCAGAATCTTAAAAACTATTATTATTAATAGTGAGTGAGCAAAAATGCCACAGCGTGTATGTGGAGGTTGGCGAACTTCTGGAAGTCAGGTCTCTGCTCCCACCATTGTTGCAGGGATAGAGCGGAGGTGACCAGGCTTGCAGGGCAGTGCTCTCACTCACTGGCCCATGAAACATTACTTTGACTTAAGGCTCATCTTTTTTCACATGCAGACAGTTTAAACTTTTCCACTCTGTCTTAGACTGGTTTAAGTTTGCATTACTCAATCTGACTTCCCTCTGGTCAAAGGAGAAACTGGTAATAGCCCAACTGCCCTCACGGAGCACAGAGCCACATATGGACTCTTGGAGGTACTCAAGTCCACTCTCCTTCTCAAAGTTTCTTCGTGGAAGTTAACAATGTTACAGGGATAGTGATATCTTACATATACAGGGTAAGACAATGTGTACCAGAACTGTGGTAAGAGATTCCTTTTAGTATTAGAAGAGTCGACAGTGTACACACTTTAGCTACACACTTTTCTTCTGCTTCAGGAAAGTTTCACAGACTGACAAGAGCTATTGGATCAGTCCCAGTTCCCCCCAAACTGAGATGCCTCGCATGCACGGAACTTAGGGTGCAGAAGTGACACTACCTTTAATTGCTGCTGCAATTCACTATTCAATCTGGCCAGAACGGTGTTGGTTTCCTTATTGCGTCTAATCGATGCCTGGATAGCCTTTTTATCTTTCCCCACAGATCTGAGAAGACACAGGGACGAAGACACCTTCATTTCTTTCCCATCTTTAACCCTTTTTTCCCACTGACTTCTAAGCAGAGAAGAAGGGACAACTTCTCCCTTCTCAACAGGGCTCAACTTCACTTGCTGTTCCAATGATAACTGGGAATCTGTAAGTTACAGAAGCCCAAGACCATAGCTGATATTAAGTACTGTGATTATTCTGTTGGAGTCATGGA